TCGCCGCCGCCGCCCATTATTCGTCCATGACCGAGGCAAACTTGTCCAGCAAATTGTTGGTGGATGCCCTCGTATTACGGCGGGTCAGCATGATCTCCTCGCACAATACACACGGCGTTCGTCCCAGGGGGGGGGGGGGGGGGGCACGTACCTTCTTGCAAATCTGCTCCTCGCCGTCCGAGGGAACCTCGAACTTGAGCTGACGCAGCTGGCTCTGCAGCTCGCCCGTCGCGTCGCGGACCTTGGCCCAGCTCTGGCCCTGCGCGATGGCCTTCTGTGCCTCGTCGTGGAAGCCCATCATGAGCTTCATCATCCATTCCGTCTTCCAGATCGGGCAGAACTGGTCGTAGTCTGAGTAGCCGTTCTGCTGGAGGAAGTCTTCCTTGATGATCGACGCCATGTCGAGCGTGATCTTGTCGGGGTCGGACAGCGCGCTCTTGCCGACCAGCTGCACGACCTGGTCAAGCTCCTCCGAGTCGGAAAGGAGCTGCTTGATGCGGTCACGGAGGCGGGGGAAATCAGGGTAGTCCTTCTCGTACCACTTGTCCAGGACGTTGGTGTACTTGGAGTAGCTGAGCGACGTGTTGATCGAGGGGAAGTGCTTGCGCTGCGCGAGCTTCTTGTCGAGACCCCAGAAGACTTGCACGATACCGAGCGTCGAACTTGTGACGGGGTCGGAGAAATCACCACCGGGCGGGCTGACGGCACCGACAATGCTGACACTGCCGAGACGGTCGGGCGAGCCGAGCGTCTGGATACGGCCGGCACGCTCGTAGAAAGAGGCGAGCTTGGCACTGAGGTAAGCGGGGAAACCCTGATCAGCGGGCATCTCTCCGAGACGGCCGGAAATCTCACGAAGAGCCTCGGCCCATCGAGAGGACGAGTCAGCCATCATGGCGACGTCGAGACCCTGGTCACGGAAGTACTCGGCGACCGTAATTCCGGTGTAGATGGAGGCCTCACGGGCGGCGACGGGCATGTTGGAGGTGTTGGCGATGAGCGTCGTGCGCTTCATGATGGGCTCCTTGCGACCGTCGACATCAATGGTGAGCTCGGGGAAATCCTTCAGGACCTCAGCCATCTCGTTGCCACGCTCACCGCATCCGACGTAGACGATGACGTCCGAGTTGGAGAACTTGGAGACGGACTGCGAAATGACCGTCTTGCCGCAGCCGAAAGCGCCGGGAATGGCGACGGTGCCACCAAGCACACTGGGGTAGAGGGCGTCGAGCACGCGCTGGCCGACGATGAAGGGCTCGGTCGCAGACAGCCTCTCGGTCGAGGGACGGGGCACTCGCACAGGCCAGACCTGCATCATGGGGTACTCCGTCTTCTTGCCGTCAAACTCGACCTCGAGGATCTTCTGATCGACGGTGTAGCTGCCCTTGCCGGCGATCTTGGTGATGGTACCGCGGGCGCGAGGCGGGAACAGAATCCTGTGGGTGCTGATGAACGAGTTCTCGAAGACGGTACCCCAGACATCACCGCCCGAGATGTGATCGCCAACCTTCAGGGTCGGGGTGAAGTCCCACTTCTTCTCGCGGTCGAGCGCAGGCAGAGCGATGCCGCGGGGAATGTAGATGGACTTGGACTCCTCGCTAATCTTGGCCAGAGGACGCTGGATACCATCGTAGATTCCGTTCAGAAGGCCAGGGCCCAGCTCGACGGACAGGGGCTTTCCGGTTCGCAGGACAGGGTCGCCGACGGTGACACCAGCTATTCGCTCGTCAGAAGGGCGTAGATAGCGTCGTGGGGGGCGGCAAGCGCGACATACCGGTCTCCTCGTAGACCTGGATGGTGGCTTGGTCACCGTTAATTCGGATGACCTCACCAACCAGGTTCTCGTGGCCAACTTTGACCTAGATGCACACATGTAAGAGACAACGAACAATTCACACAGACTTGTTGGATCGCAACCCACCAACTCATACATAGCAACACCGATCAGGTCCTCGGCGACAATGACGGGTCTGCACTCGGGTTAGTCGTGAGGGGTTTCGAAGGGGGGAGGGCAGCGGCGCGCTGGTCGGCGGTCGTCTGGAGAGAGCTGAGAAACGAACCCGGAGACGGAGAAGATCTTGCCTGTGCAGCCATTTGTTAGACATTGAATAACCAAGAAAGATACACGATGCAGGTGGGGACAATAAATTCTTACCAGAGTTGAGCTCATCTTCGCCGCCCTTGTTGCCTTTCTGCGTCGCGAAGCCTGGTCAGCGAAAGTCCGTCACCGAATGTCGTCAACACCTCTCGGTGGGGCAAAAGCATCATCTCCCGCACGGGGAATGCAACTAGGAGAGAGCGATAGAGACCAAGGCAGGACGGCTTGGGGGGGAGAGGAAGGGCGCAGCTTACGGGAGCCATGCTGGGCGGTGGTGAAGGCGCTCGTTCTTTGGATGCTTCGATGTCTTCGGGAAGCACGAGCTCGGGGATTGGGAGGTTCGGGGTCGGAGTGGTGGATGGCGGGAACCGGAAGGTTTTGGGAGGAGATGATGGTAGAGGTTGAGCAGAAGCTACGTCGAGAGCTGCAGCGACAGCAACAGTAGCGGCACCAGCAGCAGCCGCAGTAGCGGGCCAGGCCAAGGCAGCCTGGTGCTGGACGAGAGGCGCGGGCAGACCGAGCACGGGCGGACTTGGCAGCGGTTCTGTGGCTGGACCTCGCTCTGAGGCTGTGGCTGGACCTCGCTCTGTGGCAGTGTCTGTGGCTGTGGCTGTGGCTGCAGACGAGGCTGGTGAGCCGCCGAAACGTGCAGGAGGTGCAGGCGCGGGCGCGGGTGGAGGCGATGATGTAGGCCCGAACGACGGCGACAGCGGGTTGGCTTGGTCCTGTTTCTCGCGCACGAGCAAGTCGACGAGCGAAGGGCGCGCCTTGAGACGTGGGCGTAATCCGGGCTGCATGCACCTGGTGGCACCTTGCGATACCTGTCAAGCAACCACGGGTATGAACGGTAGACGTGGGCGCTGTGTCGTTGCGTCGATGGTGATGTCGCTCGCTGTTCTTGGATGTTGAGGTACGTGGACCAACCGACCACAGCTGTCGGAAACGGGGGCGATTGAACCCCCCTGGTTTTGCTGGCAGGGTTCAATCCTACCTACCTCTAAGGTAGGTCCTACTAAAGGTAGGTAGGTACCTTACCTAGTGAGGCAGGTAGGTAGGTACTTTCTTTCCTCTTGGAGCCCCTACAACGAGTTTCATCCCCAGGACCCTTCCTCCCCAAGGCCAGGAATTCCTCACCATCATATGTACTCATGTTTCATGTCCTGCACTTCATGTCATGCGTCATTATCATTATCCTACATGGCGCTTTACGTCCATACAAACAACCCTCCTAGAGACACCAAGAGCACTCCATTTCCACGCCACCTCTCAGATCCAAACCATCTCGTGCTCATCTGTTCTAGTCCTGAACTGATACCATTGATCCAAGCCTCCCCGTCTTCGGCTTTCATATGTTCAGAAAGGGCCCATGCCCACTCTTGCCGTGCTATGTACGTTGTGCCGGGTTGCTGCCCAGCCAGTTGCTTTTCTTGTTTCTGTTGTGACCAAATACCGTCGCGCTCCCAAGTGCACCCGTCGTGTTCTTCAGTCGTTAATGATACATGATGGAAGCGTGAAAGCACACGTGTGCCCGCTCACGCATGATTCTCCTTGGACGCAACAGGCGTGTCTCGCTCGCGCGGGGGCGGGGTGAGGCTCTTCTCCCACTCATCCATGAGAATGTTGGCCGTTCGTTTGATGTTGCTGGGAGAGAGCCGGTTGACCACGTTTGGCAGGATTTCCTCAAGCTTGGTCGGCGAGAGAATCGGCGTCGCAGAGCGCTCGACTCTGGTGTCAATTGCCATGGCTGCCCGGGACGACTTCTTCTTACTAGTCACAAATCGTCTTAGTCAACAATGCTCACAGCCCTCCGTCTGAATTCAGGATGTTCTTACAGTGGTGTCTCGTTCTCGTCAGCCTTCTCGGGAATGGACGCTATCCCTTCACCGCCGCTGACGGTCGACCCGCTCCAGCGCGTCGACTTGACCGAGGAGACTGAGGGAGACTCCCAGTTTGACCAGTCATTGTCGTCAATCGAGTCGAACGACAGTGGTGTCCAGGAGAAGTGCTTCGCCTTGTTCTTTGCCTTTGCAAGGGGCCGTTCCAGTGATGTTGAAGATCGAGAAGGCGTCTCCGCGGCGGGGCCGTCAAAAGCCGTGTCGAGGCCCGCCCGGGGACGCATGGAGCTCGACGCCTTGATCGTCTCCTGGTCGGCAGCAAACGAAACCGGCCGTTCTTTTCTAGTCGGTGTGTCCTGCGTGCTCTGGCGGAGGCTCCGGCCGTTGATGGGCTCATCACCAACGGTTGCCTGGCGAATGTCTTCCACAAAGCTCCAGAGGCCTGACTTAAAGTCCTCGGCAATTTGCTTGACACCTTGCTGGTTCGGGTGATAAGACCGGGGTTGCCACGATGCGCGTTTTGGCAATGCCGGATTGACAAAGGGCTGGGCAATGGGTGGGATCTCGGGTGAAGTCATGCCATCGGAGTCCTCGTGCACGGAGAACCCACCATCCGTCTTCGCAGGGGAGAGCAAGGACAATGTTCTGGTGTGGCCGCCTCTCATGACGCGCCTCCGATGTTCCTTGGGCGAGTTCTGGCTTTGCAGGAACGCTTTACGCCGGTCTAGATCTACGCTGCGCCTGGCAGCGGAAAGATCCTCGGGTGCGCCCCCGTTGAGCTGGGGTCCCAGAGGTCGTAATGGCTCGATATGGCGGCCCCGGTTCCGCTTCTGGTGTGCCTCTTGTGTGGTCCAGTGCTTCTTCAGCTTGAGAAGCTCTTCTTCTGCACGGGCCAGCTCTTCCCTGAGCTCGAGCACCTTTCTCTCTTGAGTCGCTATCGCAATGATGAAGTCGTTGGCGTCGACCGGGGAGGCGAGAGCCGAGTCTATCGGCGTCGCGGGGTAGGAAGACAGAATGGTCGAAGGCGGACGAGACGGATCACTGGTGGGGAGGGCAATGGGAAGTGTCAGCGAGAGGCGATGGGCGTTGCGTGACGCATTCGACGTTGACCGCGACGAACGACCGACGCAGCAGTCGTCCGCAGGGGGCGGTGGGGGTGGCATGGACTCAGCGTCCATGTCGGACGAACTGCCCCGCGACAGCTCCGAGGCTGATCTCGTCATTTGGCTCGGGCGTGGTGGCAGTGAGGGCGTCGAGGTGCATGCCACCAGGTGTGCATCGAGATCTGTCATGGGGGTGACTGGAGCAGCCGATGTTGTTCGGTCGGCGGCGGAGGAGCGGCGACGCAAATGTTGGTTGCTCGCGTCCATGTCGGCGAGGCCAAGGTGGAAGGCGAAATGCTTCTGATACTGCAGTTGAAGAATGGCGGGGTCGATCCTGCTCTGCGTTCGTCGATGCTTGTGTAAATGAATGGCAGACCGCGCGATGTGCAACCTCTTGTGGTGCCGCTGTCTCCCAGCGGAGGAGTGAGCGTGGTTCGTTCTTCTGGCGACGAATGCCTTGGTGTTATTCAGATGCTTCCGGTGGTCGTGAAGGAGTGTATCGGAGCAGGACGAGACGAGGGCGAGGCGCAGGAGGAAGATGGCAGTCATGGAGAGAACGAGAGGAAGCTCCTCATGGTGAGTTGGAGCGTGGGCAGGGCGGCAAGGCAGGGCAAGGTGTGGTGTAGCAGCGATTGTGGACGGGGTAAGGAGATGACAATCGAGGATGTGATGCCCTGACCGAGTAAGAAGTGTGTGAAGCCGGGGGGGTCTTGCCTGGGGTCCAGGCCTGGAGGGGAGGGGGGGGATGCGGGCGTGGGTTTGACGGAGAGAACGGGGTGTTCGAATGAGCTTTCCAGGTCGATTGACCGTGTTGATTGGGCGAGGCGGAGGGCCTTAGATTGCGACCCTTCAGTGAAGGTAAGGGGCTGACAGGGGGGGGAGCTGCTGTAGTGGTACGCTGTGGGTTTCCTCACTGGTCCCTGCAAAGAGAGCCTGGGCCTGACGTCTGGGTAACTGGATACGCCGGAGAATGTGATCTCGCGTGTCGTCTCGCCTTTGGAGATGAATTGACGAACAGGGCCACAGCTTTGCTAATTATGGACGAGGATTAGAGACAGGAAGCGGGCGGTAGACGCAGAGCTGGAGGGAGCATTGATGCCAATTTGATGTTTCGTTTCCCGCCCTGATGCTATGACGCAGCACTGGCCTGATTGGGATGAACCTTGAAAGGAGTGGAGAAGGGCAACAGCTCTGCTTTGATGCGCAATGTTGATGTTGTTGAACGAGTCGAAATGAATGCTACACGATCAGCCGGGGGGCATGAGAAGTGAAGCGCGTCAAGAGAGAAAGGGAGACCAAGACCCCTTCGCCAGCTTTCGATCGGATCGGGGCAGGCTGTTTGCTTTATTTAAACACGACAACGAGATGCACCATGGTCGGCTCAGACACGGCCAGCCCGGACGGATGCTGCTGCAGGTCTCACGAGACGAGCCCAAGTGACTGGCCAGAGACAACCGGTGCATGGTACATGGGCAGATGGGGGGGTTCCGATACTAATCCCGCCAATTCCCTCACAAAAGTCGGCTGAGCATCGTCGTTGCTCAGGGTCGCTGGGGAGCAACGCTGGTGTCAGCTGTTGTTTTGCCCGTCGTTCACCACATCAACCGGTGGATCTTCGTATGTTTGAGTTGCGACGATCCACCTCGAGTAGCCCGTATCTCAGGGGCTTGCAGCAAAGAGGCGTGGAGAAGCATCGCGGGAACCAGGGGGGAACCCCCTTCGACGCCCAGTGCCGTCCCAGTGCCAGCCGTTCGTCGGCTTTCTTTAGGTCTAGCGGGTCAGCCTGCGTCCGCCGGCCCAGAGGACGGACCCGGAATAGATCATGCACGTCAGGTTGGTACTATGTAACTCCTGGTTTCCAGGGTGATATCTGCAGGTAATGTACTTGCTTCTCTCTGCTCAGCATGCTGCGTCTTTGCAAATCAAGTCGAGTCGTTCGGCTCGTCCACTCGAGGATTATTTTACCGCTGAAGATGCTTTATCAGGTAGGTACCTAGGTCAAAGTCAAAGCTGGACAAATTACCTGAATACCCGAATTGAAAGTTCAGCGCGGTGGTGACCTACCAGAGCTGACGACAGGCGGTGAACCGGTTATTGGAATCGAATCTACCATGACTCCGCAAGATCTCCTCCCCCAATTTCCCCTAACGACCGCTCCCACCAATCATGAGCTGCTGCCTGTTTTCTCCGCAGCTGGATCCCAAGCCAAAAAGCCAAAGACCCCCCAGCTCTCACGTGACTACATGTCGCGGTCGCGCCTGTGCATTCCTGTCGTGCACAAGGCGATTGTGCTGTGACGCGGCGCTCCATTCACCTGACGCGCCTGGAAAGCGGGACAGGCATTGAATCTCACGTGCACCACGTTGACCAGCCCTGCTGCCCCTCACTTGCCCTCAAGATGAATGCCTCATGGCCCACACGGCAAGAGTCTAGGGAGACACAGACAAAGACAGCCAGGCATCAGCCCTCGTGATAGCCTGGAATGAAAGCCTGCGGTGCGTCCTCCGAACTCACCTCTCCGACCGTCATGTTCCTCGCCGTCTCTTGACCATCAAGCAACCCTTGTTTCGAGGCCATCATGGCAGGCGAATACGATGCCATTCTCCTTCGCTCATGTATGTGATCTTTTAGATCAGCTGCAGCAGCAGCAGCAGCAGCAGCAACAGCAGTCTGGCGACAGAAATGTCACTCGTAGAATCATCTCCTCCTGGTTCGCCAAACATCGGCATGCCATCAAACAGACCCCTGCTACTGCGGCAGCCCTTTTTTCAACGTTGCTGCCCGATACTCGAACCGATCGCGTGTATGGAATTCAAGCTCCATCGCTACAGAGAATTGTTGGTCGAGCCCTCTGTCTTGGAAGCTCTCGGTTTGCCCATCTGCGTCGCTATGAGAACCCTGGGAGTGGCGAGGACTTGGCCGACTGCGTAGCAGGCATTCTCACGGAGACTGTAAGACTCTACAGTCGCTCATATCCATCACTCGTTCTAATCATTTGTAGCCCAACCCCGTCAGTAAACTAGACCAGGTCACGGTGGAGGAGATTGATGCTCTGCTCAACGGGCTCGCTGCGAACTGCAGATTCAGCTCTCATACTGTCCGTCAATCCCACCGGAACACAGGTTGTGAGAACAAAGAGACACTCGGCGAGCTTTACCGCCAAGTGCATGCTCGAGAGGCCAAGTGGTTGACTCGCATCATTCTGAAGCAAATCCAGCTCACCGCTCTCGACCCCAGCATCGTCTATGGATCCTATGACGCCCGTCTTCCATTCGTCGCCAGGGTTCAAGAGAGCTTTGAAGTTGCTCTCACATCCTTGCGGGAACTGAGGGCATCAAATCCGCTCGGTATCGGTACACAGAACTTGGTTCATGTCATCAAGCCAATTCTCGGGACCAAGGTTGGTCGACAAACCTGGTTGAAGGGCAGGAGTATCAAACATTGCATCGGCCTCCATCCCAAGCGAGTCAGCTGTGAGAAGAAAATGGACGGCGAGTACTGCCAAGTGCACGTCGATCTGAGCAAGGGATCCAGAAGCGTTCAGATCTTCTCGAAGAGCGGCAAGGATAGCACACAAGACCGAGTAGGCATTCACAAGTAAGTCTTCAGCCTCTGCTAGCTCTTAGATGTTGACTGGTGCATAGGGCTATACGCGACTCTTTGGGTATAGGCGGTAGCAAGCCGAAGATATCTCAAGGGTGTGTGTTGGAGGGAGAATTGCTCGTCTACAATGAAAGGGTAAAACAACGTGCCAGCAATACTCACATCTACTAACGGCAAACAGGAGGGTCGGATACTCCCTTTTCACAAAATACGCAAATATGTCTTGAGGTCAGGCGTTCCTCTGGGCACTCAAAAAGACTCTCCGTAAGTTGTTGTTCAGCAACATACATTCTAGTTGCTGACCGACTAGGCCGGACCTGGACGAGCATTTGATGATAGTCTACTTTGATGTGTTGCTCATCGACAACGAGTCTCTACTGGGAATCCGTCAAACAGACAGGTTCAACCGACTCAGAGAGCTTATCATGTGTCGCACCGGACATGCTGAGTTGGTCCACAGACAGGTGATTGATCTTAGCCTACGTCAAGGTGCTTCAGATCTCCGGCGAGCCTTCGCAGAATCCATTACTCATCGGGAGGAGGGCCTGGTACTGAAGCCAGATGATCCATACTTTGACTTTAGCAAGGATAAGCGTTCGTTCGCTGGTTGTCCGATCAAGTTGAAGAAGGAGTATATCGGAAATTTTGGAGACGTGGGAGACTTTGCCGTGATCGGGGCTCGATACGACCCTGTGAAGGCACAAGAGTACAATGTTCCCGGCCTGAAGTGGACACACTTCTACTACGGCTGTCTTACCAATAAGGAGGACGTTCAGCGGCATCAAACCAAGCCTAAATTCATGGTGGTTGACACAGTTGAGGTAAATACGACAATGATGAAGACTGTCCTCATCCATGGCAACACGCTCGAGATTCCCTTTCTCGAGAACGCCTGCTTGGAATTGCAAATCCCTCCTCGAATAGCTAGCGACAAACTCCCGACGGTCATTTTCCGGGAGCCCCTTGTCTTTGACATAAGATGCTTCTCTTTTGACAAACCTGGGAACACGGGGTTCTGGATACCCCGCTTCCCACAGGTTTCGAAAGTGCACTTCGACCGAACGTTCATGGACACAATGACTTTCATTGAGCTACAGGCTGCTGCAGAGGAGGCCAAGAATATGCCCATCATGGAGGATAGCCAGGAGCTGCTCCATTGGATTAGCCTCCTGGAGGGCGCTGATCCTCGAGGTGTTGCAGTCGATGCCTTGACTCAGTCGACGGTAACATCTTTGTTAACACCCTCCCCCAGACGACAGTCCAGAACATCTCAACTCTCGAGCATTGCGTCTCCTAACAACACCCCCACAAAGCTATGCCGGGCCCCAAGTATTGCGCTCTTCACAATTTCAGCTTCATCAGAAGCGGCGGAACCCCAACATCCCAACACGCAGCCATGCTCCACTCGAGAATCAAATCTACGGCAACAGATCCAGGAAGCCGAGGGCCTCAAGAGAGGCAGCACTGAGGATTGTGTGAATCGAGCAGATAACAAGCGACCGAGGCGCAATACATTGTCAGCCTCTGCATTTTCTGAACACTTGCATTGGTCACGGACTCGTCCGGCATCACCTCAATGCAATTCGTCAACACGGCAACCACTTTCAAACGTTTGCAACAACTCGTCGCCAGTTGGTATCACATCATCTCAGTCATTTTCCCTGGACAGCCCGACCAAACAGAAGCAATCTGCTAGGAGTAGCTACATCGCACCATCGTCATTCCCCGTCATGACTAGGAGGGAGATTGATTCATCTCGGAACCTTGTGTCTTCAACTTCATCGGTGAGGGCGGCGACGCTCTATAACCCTTCCGCCACAGATGGTTCATGTCAGATCGCAGGCCACCGTTGCAAGATGAGGAATCGTGAAATTCTCTTGGCTCCCTGCATCGCAAACCAACTTCTTGTCACCGAGAGTATATTGCCGGCGCATGGCATCAAGTCATGGGTGACCGATCCTGAAAACTGGCGCCAGAGCGAGTTGAGCCATGTACGAGACGGTGCATTGCGTGGGGTTATATCACCGCCTCGCCGACGCAGGAAGGTTTGTTTCGTCGAGCGAAGGCGTGTGGAAGCCACACGCCACCTTGTGAAGCAGATTCAAGCATTGGACTTACGACTACCTGATGGCGAACGCGAGTCGGTCGAAATGTACGACTGGCGGGTGCTGGAAGACATTGACCAATACGAGAAGTCATCCAGGGGTTCATCGCCGGCATCAGCAAAGTCTAACCCATGGAAGAAATGGTGGGTGGGGTTGGTATAGACGTCCCTTGATAATTGATGGTTTCTGCGAAACGCCCATGCATTGCTGGAGGCAGAACGCAAGCATTTTAGCCATAAAACATGCTATTTGAGCAAACATTCTGAATACTAAACACTGGCTCTGTACCTTGACGTGGTTATGCCTTGGCCTGCTCCTCCTCCTTATACAGGTCCTTGTAGCTTTCCTTCAGTCGCATGTGCAGGTGTTCATCGGCCGTCACCACTTTTCTCTCGGCATATGGGTTTGCGTTCGGCGTTCCAGCTTCGGGGTTGAAAGTCTTCACTCGGTCAGTGGGCACTGGCTCCAATGCCGTCGCACCTACAGGGTGGCAGAAGAAGGCAATTGAATATCTCGGCCCCGTGTCAGACTCGCCTTCCACGGGCGCGGCGTCACCAGAAAAGACGACGCGATGGACGGTGCTCCGGAACAAGCCGTTTGTCCAGTAGCTCAGCAGATCGCCAATGTTGACGAGGATGGGTGGGAGGGCGTCGTCCTCGGTACCGGGGGGCCGAACGGGGACGGGAGCCCAGGCGTTCTCGCGCGTGAGGATCTCGAGGCCGGCCTGACCCTCGAGGCGGAAGAGGAGGGTGATGGAACCGTAGTCCGAGTGGGCGCCCGCGCGAACTGCGTCGGGGGCGGCGTTGGAGGCAGAGGTGGCTGGGTAGTACAGGAGGCGAAGGATGGTGCCGGAGGAGCCACGGGAGGGAAGGTGGGCGCTGGAGAAGAAGTCGGGGGGCGAGACATCGAGGCCAAGGCCGAGAAGGTAGAGAAGACGGAGGCAGAGAGAGTGGCACTGTTCGCGGAAGGAGTTGACTTGGGGCTCGTCTGGCTGAATGGTGGCGGGCAGGGGTTGCTGGGCCTTGCCATCGGCAAACTCTCCAAAGTTGAAGGCTCTGGCGAGGGTTCTTGTTAGGGGGCCTTGTGTCCACATGACTTATATTGTGTTCATGACTTACTCTTTGTAGTCTCCGACCTGGAACATGTTAATATGAAGCGTCTTGACTTATAGAAAGCATTTTACCTTTTGCGTCTTGGGGTCCAGAGTCTCCGAATGCATACCTGACCAGCCACGGTTGTTGGTCTGGATAGAGCAGGCGGCCTTTTCTTCGATAGGAGCCTTGAAAAGCTTGCGAGACTAGATTTTTGGCCGTCAGTGAGGGTTTCGTCGTCGAGGGCCACCGCACCTACAAGATCGAAAGCACCGTCAATATCAGACAAGCCTATGAAATCACCGGTGTTCTTGATATAGATGAAGCCATGCTCGGCAGCTGCATCAACGACTCGGCGCGCCACATCCGCCTCGTCAACGGCCTTTGAGACATCAATGATGGGTATGTTTGCGTTTGGAGCCATCTTGATGATCGATCTGCCGGGGTTTGGGATGCGCAACATGCATGTATGACTCCCTCGTGGAAGAAACCAGCCGAGGGGGGAGGTGGGCAGTCAATTGATCAAGGTAGGTAGTCTTATCGCGATAAGCCATGGTGGGATGTCAAGGAGGGGTCCGGTTGTGACGAGAATGTGTCACTCGGGGCACCAACCAGATCTCGACATGACCGGTTCTTGGATGGGACCTTAGGATACGATCCAGTGAACCTAGCAAGCTATTTACATGGCCATACGAATCCGTAAAGACATATGCAGCTGTTGGTATGGGCAGTCTTCAATCGAGATCAGACAGTGCGCACGATGTCGCTGCCAGGTTTCTCGTTGTAAGCTGATTTTTTTTTATAGACATCACACGACTCGTTGGCTCCCCGGCCCGTCCCATGCAATGCAGTGCTGGGTGTGGATCAAGCTTCTGTACATCGGCCTCCATGCCTGTTGATGTGCAACATAACGTGCCCGGTTTGTGTGCCTGTGCCTGGGCCTACATGTACACCTGACAGTAGGTACCTTACCTAACATGATGAGCAGTACGGTATTCCTTACTCTTCCTCCGTCCAGCCCCTGTACAGCCCATCCTCGGTGACGAACGGCAGCCAGTTGAACCCCCCTTCCGTGCTACCGTAGGTATTGAACCCGTGAACACCCCCAAAGTGACCTCTGTTCAAGATGACCGGGGCAGGAAACAAAATCGCACGGGCCACATGAGCTGTGTCGTCGGTACTTTGGCCGTCGCCGCCTCTGGCCAGATGTCAGCCGCTGGCAATCCTCCCAACCCAATGACACACCAGGCACCGCCACAGCCCACAGCTGGCGCGACCCCCCCAGTCTAAAACACCCGCCGGGCACTTCCTTCCCCTAACAGTCAATCGGTTAGCGCCCTGAAATTCAAGGGTTTCCCTCCCCCGTCAAGCGCCCTACCCCCCGGTACTCGCACGGTGACACGCACCTGTGTTCCAGGCACAACAGGCACGACCAGACAGTGGGCAGAGAGAGGTACCTGAGGACCGAAGTACCTGAGTACCTACCTACCTACCTTAGCTGGCAGGAAGGAACGAACTGGATTGGACCTCACCGGACAGAAGGTCTGCCCAAGCCCCAAACTTCTTCTCTCCGAATACCTACCTCGCTCCGATCCTCGTCGCCTCGTCGCCGACTCATCCTCCTCCATTTCGAAGGACGACCTTCTTCTCCTGGCGTCATTGGCCCAGCGGTCGGCCGTCTCTGTTCATGACAAGCTCAGACCTTTCTTTTGGGTGTCTTCTGAGCTGCCGTTTTCCTTGACCAACGGCCCCCCCGCCCCCCTTTGTTGACCTCCGACGAGGTCTCGCGACATAGCTGAGCTCTGCTCTACGAGGAGTCATCTCTTCCAATCGAGCTTGGGGAGCTCCGCCAAGCTTGCGCAACCCGAATCAAGATGCCTTGTGAGTGCCTGTGCCCTTGCGATCCTCTTCCAGCTCTGCCACCCCGTCTTTCGATGCGCCCCTCCCACGACCACCGAATACGTCCCTCCTCTCGACAAGCTTGCCTCGTCACATGCTTGCGAAGCTCGATGCGTCCCACAGACTCTCCTAGATCTCCGCTCCATGTCCTCCTCACTACCCGCCTGGGCAGTAGTATGTAGGCAGAGAGGTCGATGCCATGCGCACATGGCACCATTGTTGGCTTTTGACTCTCTCGAGCATCATACCCACCGAAGCAGTTTGTTGAGGGTCAGCGCTGGCATGCAACGTCACACGAATACCAAACCATTTCAATGAGGGTCATCGCAAGCTTCCGCCGGCGGGCCGCAGGGATGGTTTTCTGTCGAGAACGATCACTGTCCTCTCAACAACAATGGACAACTGGGGCTGACGGCTAGATTTTTAGCTCTCGTGGAAGACGCCTGGATCAACGGCCAGGCAACGTGAGTCCAGCCCTCTCGAGGTTCTTGGCTTGTGACTAACTTGTCGTGTGCAGGACCGCCAACGTATCTGACCTCGAAGACTGTGCCATCGCCGTCGACGCGACCTACTACTTGCAGCTCTGCCTCGATAGCCCTCCATCCCGCGAACCTCTCTTGTCCGCGCTTGGGGGGCTTACTGGGCTCGACTACCATATTCGCCAAGATCTCGAACAATGGAACGCCCACAAGATCACTCCGCTGTTCATATTTGATGGGCAAACCCTCCATGGCCAGGATGAAGTAGCTGCCCTGCGCGGCAAAGCGGCCAACAAGAAGACGGACGAAGCCTGGAACCTCTACGCGAAGGGTGAGGCGGAACAAGCCGTTACTGCATTTGGGGCCAATAGCGGTATGGAATATCAGTCTTCTGAGAGGTAGCGACGGTGCTGACCCAGGTCCTCTAGGTGCATTCCGAGTTCAGACTCTGTACCCCATGCTCCAGTCCATTCTCCAGGAGAATAAGTTGCACTTCCTAGTTGCACCGTACAATGCATCAGCTCAGGTATGCTTAGGCGCTGCTGCTGCTGCTGCTTGTTTCCTCTCGTCTGACTTGTGTGCCAGATTGCGTACCTGGACATGATCGACTCTGACCAATGCGCCGGTGTCATGGGCTCGCAAGAGCTGCTTCTGTACCCGATCAACGACGGCGTCATTCGCTCTTTCGACTGGGAGAACAAGAAGGTTAAGGCTATCTTCAAAAAGAGCTTGATTCGGTCCCTCAATGTTAACGACACTACGTTCACCGACGCTCTTCTCATGACTGGCACCTCATTTCTTTCTACCTACCCCCCGCTTCAGGACACGTCGTACGTAAGGCGTCAGCCTCACACAATTAACGATGCTGTGAACATGCTCCGTACGGCCGACAAATCTGTAGCGCAGTCTGCTTCTGCCTTCAGTGACGTCCTGCAGCAGCAAGACCCTACCTGGCTGGACAGGTACAGGCGCGCAAAGATGGCTGTTCTTCATTTCGTCTACATTGCCGAGTCGGGGCGAAGTCAAGGTCAACGACTACGAGCATCTTACCAATGACAACCTGCAAATATATGGGATTGCAGCTTTCCGGCAAGAGCTCTATCACTATCTCAACGTGGGCTTTGATCGGGCGGCCCGTGTCTTTGAGCGGCATCACACACCTCCAAATC